AAACTAACTAACAAAAAGCATGAGCCAACATGCTCAGGTTCCATTCAGTTTTTATTTGGCTTATTGATTTTTTTTAGTTACATTTCAGTTTTTTTTTTCAGTATTTCTTTTTGCTTAATTGTATGTTGAATTTACCTTCTATTTCTATTCAGTTACTTCTGTGTAGCTGAAGTTTGCTACTTTGTGGCTTTTTTCTTACATTCATCTCCACCCCTTTTCTTCTTCCCTTTCAACCCCCTAACATTAAATAAGAGAGAAAAAAATGATAGAGGGGAAAGAAAAGAGATCCATGAATAAAGTAAGGGGTCAGAATGGGGGCAACATTACCTTTAGACTACTCCCTGCTGGTCAGGGGCATTGCAGTCCTTGGGGAGAGTTTGATACCTAATTATTTCTCCTCCTCCTCTTCTTTGAGGAAGCATGAAAATAGACCCTTCTCACACATTGTTTGAAAATCAACTCCAAATTAATCCATGACCTAAACATAAAACCTAGAACTTTTAAACTGTTAGAGGAAAAAGTAGGAAATGCACTTCAAGACAAAAAAACAAGTGTTCTTGACTCACACCCTGGCTGGAATTCAATTCTGCACAGGAGATGTTTTTATTTATTGTCAGTGCTCCTTGGCACATGAACTACCATTTTTTCTTTTTACCCAATAAAAGTTAATCTAAACTTTCAAACAGATTTTGGAACAACCTCTGATATTTAAAACAAATCACTGGCTCACGAGGGTTTGTTTTGTTTTTGTTCCTTTTCTCCCCTCTGTTTTTGAGACAGGATCTCACTGTGTAGCTTTGGCTGGCTGGAAGCTAGCTATGTAGAACACGGTGGTCTTGAACTTACAGAGATTCACCTGACTTTGCCTCCAGTGTGGGATAAAAGGCCTGTACCATCATGCCCCAGGAGACTGGACTTTTAATGAGAGTGTCGTAAGAATGGAAAATGTGTCCAGTTGTCACAACAGATAAAAGGGCAAATGATCTCAAAGACTGCCCACAAAGCAGCCAGTCCCTAGATACAACTCACAGCAAAGCAGAAGAAAACAACAACAGGCTAGAAGCCTTCATTTCTGAAAACTTCCACTTCTCAAGGGTTGAGATTTGGTTCCCTGTGTGCACATGGCAGCTCACAACTGTAACTCCAGTTCCAGGGGATCCAATACCCTTTTATGACGTCTGTGGGTGCTAAGGTTCTTGAAGAAGCCAACACTCATGTCTTTGGGTATGTCTTGTCTGTGTCCTGCCTTCTGGGTGCCTTTCTCTTAAACCTTACAGTCAGCTGTGTTAACATATCTTTATTAAACCCCAGCCCTGCTTTATAGGCACAGTTCCACCTCAACACTGCTACTTGGGAGACCGTGCTAACACACATCCATTCTAGTATTCTTGTTGGCCATGACTTCTTTTCCTCAAATCACTTGTTTATGTTCTGAGTTATGTTATGGATATTCTGGTAAATATAAACATCTGGTTTCCCCCTTGTCTACTTTTACACTTAGGTATATTAAAACAAAACAATCTTAAAACTCATCAGATTTTTTGGTAAACAAAATTTAATGTAACCATATAGTCAAGTAATGTTTAAAAGACATTAATTAGATACAACTTTTAAAAATTTAAACTATGAAAGAAGTGCAATTAAACAAAAACATAAGCGTCAATGTACTACAGCTGAACTGAGAACAAGGACATAGAAAACATTCTTTTCTCACTGTGAAGATTCAAACTGAAAGCAACAGCTGTGTGGCAGTTACAGTAACACATTGTACTTGTTCAGTTCTGAAAGCCTCACCTCAGCTCTGGAGACTCACACACTGCAGGAGGGTCAGTAATGCAGAAGAAGCACTTTCGCAAGAAAAGCCTAGAGCAGAACTAATTACTGATATAAGGACATAACAGAAGTAACTACACATACTTTATTTCACTATTAAATATTTCAAATGACCTTTTTGAGAGCTTAATGGGTATTTATCTGAGTATTTTAAAAAGCACCTAGGTACCAAAAGTTAAAAATGTAAAACTCCAAGCAACAACCTTACTTAACAACCTCTTTCTGCCAAGCAATTTCACAGTTGGCATTTCAGAACAGCTGGGAGTGGTGGCCCAAGCTTACAATCCTAGCACTCAGGGACAGAGGCAGGACTGCCACTAGCTCAAAGCTAGCCCAGCAATATACTGAGTTCCAGGTTAGCCAGGGCTACATTAAACCAACCAACCAACCAACCAACCAACCAACCAACCAACCAACCAATAAACCCACTCACCCCACAGACAAAAACACACCCAGCCAGGGGTGGTGGCACATGCTATCATCCGAGTCCTTTGGAGATATAGACAGAATGACTGGAATTCAAGATCATCTTTAGCAAAACAGAGCCCTAGGCCAGCCTGAGCTACATATGACCCTGACTCACTCAATATAGGCCAGCTTAGACTATATGATCCTGACTCAAAAGATATAACCAAACCAGACCCTCAAAACCTAACAAAAAGTAAAAAATAAAAGCCCGAACAAAAAAAATACATTTATGACACAAGAAACAGATATGAAGTTTATGTGTGCTAAGATTTATCAGACTGAAGTGGCACTGGGAAGCTTAAGGCACAAACATTAAAATAAAACTTCTTTGGAACAATAAAGTTATGACTTCATTTTCTAAAAACTTATTATCATCTTTAGCACTACACTGTTTAATATTTAAGGCAATCGCAAAAGTGTAAAGGGTTCATATATGTTTTAATGATATCATTTATTTTTGTGTGTATGAGTGTTGTTGTGCCTGAACTATGACTGTTTGCGTATAATGTATGTACACCATGTGAGCCCGGTGCCTGTGGAAGTCAGAGGGTATTGGAACTCCAGGAACTGTAGTTTATAGACACTTGTTAGCCACCATGAAGGTGCTTGGAACCCAACCCAGATCCTCTGCAAGAGCAGCACGTGCTAGTGCTCCTAACTGCTGAACCATCTCCCCAACCCGCTTACCAATGAAACACTTTAAAATGGCTAACATATTTTGAAATACCTCTGGCATCCTGTTAGTTTACAGTCCTGGGAGTGGTTTTTGATGCCTAGCACTAGATGTGGCAGTAAGCATGTTTATTAGCTAGTTAGACCTTACAGGTCAGAAAACTGCTTCATTCTGGTTATGTGGTATGCATTAATTACTTAACATAATACTGGGTGAAGTAATATAATTCTAGCTTTTTCCATACTATCAACCAACTCCATTAGTATTTTTGTCATGAGATTTCATGTGACCAAGGCTGGCCTCAAACTGGCTCTGTAGCCATGCCATCCTAGGATTCTCCTGATCCTCCTGCCTCGACCTCCCAAGGGCTGGAATTAAAGGCATTGCCACCATACTCAGCTATATGCCAACACTAAGTTTAGCAAGGCCAAATCACATTCACTAGTATTACCTTGGGCTGACTTATGAAACAAGGCAGTCCACGGAAGCCTCTAGACATTAACTTATCACTTGGTACCACATAAAGTATCGAGTATGTATCCTTTTCACAAATAAATTTCAAGATGTTAAGGCACACACAAATAATTTACCTCCCTTCCTCTCTCTGTATATGGGCTCTGAGTGATTTTTAAAAATATATTGTCAGATCAAGAAAAAGCAGCACATACCCAGTTTGGACACTGACAAAAGTACGAAAACCACCTTTGTCTTTCCTGAGTTTCAAAATGGGAGTCTGACAGCAGATACATAAACAATTCATATTTGCCAGGAGAATGTATCAGTTCACAAAGCATTGTCATCCTTCTAAGTAGAATAAATGTTCAACCACTGCCATGTGTGAAGCTTCTGAAAAATTTTAGTCTAGAGTCATCAACTGAATGGCACGAGTGAAAGCACTTTGCACACCCCAAACAGGCAACAGTCACAAGCTAACGCCCTCCCTGAGCATTTACACCTTTTTAAACCTGATTCAAATGGAGTAAACACGTGGATCCAAATCTATGATAAATGGCTACTGAAAATCCAATTCCTACCTGTTAGTAAAGTCAGTGGGGACAGCGAAGAAGAGGAGGAAGTACAACCACCTTGTCGCATGCATGGAGAAGACTTGTAAAAGGATTCAAGTACATGAAAAAATACACACAAAAACCAACTGTAATTTTCTGTTGATCCACAAAACATACCTTCCAGTTCTTTCCAACTGGCTTCTGCAAACTTCTCTCCAGGTCTGCTTTCTGACCTTGTAACTGCTGTTATGCAGGTGCATAGGTCCTCGTGACCAGATCTGCACTTTCAGATGAAATGATTATTTTAGAAAACTGGTGCTGGCTTCCACTACTAACTGTAGCACTCAGAAGGCAAAGAAATGCCAAGAGTTTGAGGCTAGCACAGGCTACAGAAATCCTGTCTCAATAGCAATGAGTACTCTACAAGTGTTCAAATTTAGTCTTATCCAAATGAACTGAATATAATCAACTAATATTTTACTTTATATTTCTGACAATTAAACTGCAAAAATCATTGAGTACTTGTGATGTGTGTACACAAGTACACTATCTACATATAAACACATACAAATACCAACTTAGAGGCTCATAGAAACATCACCTATCAAAAGAAACCCTGCCAATTACGGGATGGCAGAATGAATATAGTCTGACACCAAGATGGTTGCTATATCCTTTTTAATAGACTAATCATACCCTGTTTTTCTTAAGCCAGGGCTTACCACCATTATCTGTCAATAATTAGTGAAGAAAGATAAGTCATTAATGGTAGTTAAAATATCATTTGGGTAGCTTTAACAAGTTATTGTCTAGGATTCAAGATACTTTGTAGTGACCTTTAACATAATTTGCAACTACTCAATTTATGTGGTTTTAAATTACATAAAGAAAGACTAATTTGTTTAAATAAATTCTGATTTTCAAGATCTTTTTTCCAATTAATTACAATAAACACAAGGATATATGAAAGATAAACATTACAAAATACATGTAGATAATACTTTTACAATAGACAAAAATACTAAAATACAAATTTACTTTGAGTAAGTCTTTTATATGACATATTTATGAATAGACATGGTCTTACAATTATACACTAGAATAACAATTATCATTTGTAGATTCCTAAGCATTTACAAAACACTTTTGTTCACACACTTTACTATTATGAATTTCTGAACTAAATAGTTCCCATTATCCAAAGTACAATGCAGATAAAATTATAGTACAAATACCCTCAGTTGCACATGTAACTGCGCCTCAAATGACAGATAACTGTTTTCTGAAGTGCTTCTACAGTTAGCCCATCATTTGAAATTTATGACTTGAAAACAATTTCATAAGTGAACTTTTTAACATTTTCTCAAAATTTAAATTCCAATTAAGAATGCCTCATACAAAATGTTGCGATTTTCCTAAGATGAGGAAGAAAGCGTTTGCCAATGGTAGGCTTTTGATTTGAACAGAACTCTAATGATATTATTATCACCAACAAGGAGTATGTTATAGCATGGGAGACAATGGTGACTGGGAAGTTAAACACAGCAAACTACCTCCTACGGCCTACGGCCTTGTAAATCCTTATCCGTCCACACGGAAGTTATAATAACTAATCGTACTGGTTCCTGCTGTATCCACTTAGATTTCTAAGAAAAACTTTCATATTTCCGTTGGAAAACTGGTCAGTTTTATAAGATGGAGGTGAAAAACTAGAAAAAAAATTGATAGAAAATTGAAAATGTTGATCAATATTTTATACAAAGGCTCCCAAATAAGAGATTTCTCTCAGACGACTGGGAACTGTTGCTGGCCAGAGTGGCTCAGCTAACTTATGAACAAGCGGCCCCACTGAGAAGAGTGGGCTCTGCTGTAGGCTTCTAAGGAATCAGTAGTCATTCCTAGACTGGTAAGCTATTTACAAGGAGGCAGGGTACTCAGCAAAGCATTGCACCAGTAATGTCAAACTCTGCTGGGGTAGAGAGCAAAACTGCTCTTATTTTCCTTACAGCAGTATTACAAAACACATTTTTTTTTTTTACTTAAGATTTATTTATTTATGTGTGCCTGTGTGAATTTATGTGTACCACGTGCCTGTAGGTGTCACTGGGTGCTAGATTCCCTGTAACTAGAATTACAGGTCTTTCTGAGCCACCGGATATGGGTGGGAGCCAAACCTGGTTCCCTGAAATAGTAAGTGTTCTTAAACACTGAGCCAAATCTTCAGCCTTAATTTGGTTTCTTTTGATGTACCTTCCAGATTTCGGATAGAGGTGTATTACTACCATGGCTGGGATACAAATCCCAAATACAGGTGTGTATTACCTGCATGGCTTTATAAAAGGGATTTCAGCTCCTCTGTTAGTTTGAAGGGAAGAACTTTGTTAGTGGACTCACAGAAGATCATTAAATACCCTGAGAACCAAAGTGGATCACATTTTTTTTTCTTTGATAGTTATTTTAATTTTTCCTTAGGAATTAATGTGTAATTTAAATCTCCTTACTTTTATATCCTACATAAGCCCACAAAAAAGTATTTAATATCAGAGAACAGTCTATAAAGTCATAAAATTTGGTATTTTATGGCAGCTGATTTGCCACTACATTTTTACAATTAAGAAAACAAAACCCAAAAAGTTTCAGTGAAATTAACCAGTATGGATAAAGTCAGTGACAGCGATATTTAAAACTAATTTCTTCCTCTCACACTGAATTCTAAACATTTTCAACATCAGGCAAGTCAACCTAAATGAAGATTCAGTCACGCAATTTTCTCTACAAAATTGACAAAAAAAGAAATAAACATCCTAAGACGGTTCACAAATCCCTAAGAAGTTTACAGCTGGGTATTATTTCCTACCCCACATAGTTTTTCAAAGATGCAAAAGTATACTCATAGGCCAAATTACTTTTTTTTTTTTTTTTTAAGACAAGGTCTTCTTCTGCAGCTCTTGCTGGCCTAGAACTTGTTATGTAGACCAGGCTGGGTTCAAACTCGGAAATCCACCTGCCTTTGTCTTCTGGGTGCTGGGATTAAAGATGTGTACTGGCCTGGCTTTAACCACCATTATTTAAAAACCCAAATTACAGGAAAGGATTTATTGCAGCTTGAAATATTGATGTTTTAGGCAGAAAGGCATCAGGATTATTTCTTTTTCTTTTTTCTTTTTGCATAGGGCACAAAGGAGAGTCATTCTCACTTGGTAGTTTTTTTAAATTTTCCTCTTGGATTGGCGCGGCTTCTTGTGTGAGGTATTCTGGGTTTTAGAGCTTAAAGCATTTCTCATTGTATCTATGAATAGTTACACAGCCATGATAGGATACTGGTCTGGGCATTGCAGCTACCCCTGTAATGATACTTGTCGCAGGATCGTAACAGAGAATAGTGTCTGTGGCTTCTCCATTTTCCCGTCTTCCACCCAGGATATAGATTTTACCATTACACACAGACATTCCACAGTTTTCCTGTTTAACCAAATATACAAGAAAAAAAAGCAATTAAATATTGAAGATAAAGGATTTGACAATAAACTGAAAAGGCAACAACATGAAAAAAAAGGGAGATGTAATATCTCGATATAATATAATAAATATAATATAATAAATATAATATAATAAATATAATATAATATAATATAATATAATATAATATAATATAATATAATATAATATAATATAATATAAAAGCTAATCTACCTTTTGCCCAAACCCTGTTGTATGTATGAATGCTGATATTTACATGACTGAAGTGAGTGCTAAAATGCATTGTCAGTAACAAAGGCTAAGGATGTGAAAGGCTCGGTAGACTTGACAAGACTTTAAAAGTGCAGGAAAGCTATTGTAATTATCACATGATCAAGGAACAGGGACATCAGTCCCTTTAGAGAGCTTTAGGCTGAAAAATGAATGAGAAACAGGTTTCAATCAAAGTAACAAAATCCTGTTATTGAAAGTCTTGGCTGGGACACAGAAATGGCACCAATACATTGTATTCTATATAAGGAGATTCTTTTTTAAATTTATTTTTTATTTATTATATTTTATTGACTTTGTATCTTTAGCACCCTCCCTCATCCCCTCCAGATCCCACCCTCCATCCCTCATCTCCTCCCATGCCCTTCCCCCAGTCCTCTGATAAGGGCGGTCCTCCTCCCCCTCCATTTGACCGTAGCCTATCAGGTCTCATTAGGACTGGCTGCGTTGTCTTTCTCTGTGGCCTGGTAAGGATGCTTCCCCACCCCATCAAGAAGAGGTGATCCAAGAGCCAGCCACTGAGTTCATGTCAGAGACAGCCCCCATTCCCCTTACTAGGGTACCCACTTGGATACTGAGCTGCCATGGGCTACATCTGTGCAAGAGTTCTAGGTTATGCTACACATCTTTAATCTCAGCACTGAGGAGGGAGAAGAAAGCAGATCTTTGAGTTCAAGCCAGCCAGAGCTACATAGTGAGACCCTGTCAAAAAAGAGACAGAGAGAGAGAGAGAGAGAGAGAAAAGAAAGAAAGGAAGAAAGAAAGAAAGAAAGAAAGAAAGAAAGAAAAAAAAAGAGAAGGAAGAAAAAAGGGCAGTCTAGCCAACCAATCTAAGAAAGACAAAATACAGCTAACCAATCAAAGAAAGAAAGATAGGAAAGAAGATAGGGGGAAAAAAAAGGACCATTTAGCCAGCCAATAAAACTAAGAAAGAAAGACAAAATACAGCCAACTGAAGGAAGGAAGGAAGGAAGGAAGGAAGGACGAACAGATGATGGATGAATGGATGGGTAGGTGGAAAAAGTATATTTTGGGAGAGCAGGCTAGAGAGAAAGCTGGCTCGGGGGTTAAGAGCACTTGCTTCATTTGCGGAGGACTGGAGTTCGGTTCCCTGCACCCCTATCAGGTAGCTCACAATCATCTGTAACTGAAACAACGGGGCATTGCCCCCACTCTTCATGGTCTCTCTGGGCACCCACATTCCTATGCACACACTAACATGCTCTCATCTCATCTTCTGTAGCGATTTGAGAAGAGACAGAATTCCAATATTAGAAGCAGCATTTTGATAGTAAGAGGAGGGTGAGCAGAGCCAAGACCTTGGACGCTGGGAGCCTTTCTGAAGATGGGGCTTTAGGTGGAGTGTATGGATGAATGAGGTCAAGCTCAACCATTTCCTTTATAACAAAACAACCAACAAGCCTACAAATAGAGGGCTATCTTCTCTTCTGAAATATGAAAGAGAAAGGACAAGAGATTGGAACAAGATTCAGAAAAAGGTGAAGGCTGATTTTTTTTGTTTTTTTTAATCAAAAGCCTAAATACAATGGGTATTTTGTGTTGGGTTGATTAAAAGGTAGTTAGTTTACTAAGCTATTCCTTGGGACAGAGCATGTTGCTCAGGGTATTCCCCTAGTGTTCACAAGGCCTGGACCCCATCCCCAGCACTACACTGGTTCTATCTGGACTCTGTGCTTCTACCTGTCGGCTGAACGTGTTTTGCACGTGCATCCAGTAGTCTTCAACCGGATCATAACAATACACCGCCTTGGTCAGTCCACCAGCAACGTAGATCAGGTTGTTTAAAGAGACAGCTGTTATGCACCTCTTGGCGATTGGGATAGCTGCACGAAGTAGCCAAGAATTGGTTTCTGGATCATAAGATTGAACCTAATAGTACAGAAAAACATGGAGTAAACTGTCTAAACAAATATGTAAATTTGCCTTAAAATATGTCAATATTAATATAGGAACATAGTTAAAATGAAATCTCAGTAATTCAAGTAATTAAATAAGGTTAGTCTGTTTTAAAATTTTTATGAATTAAGAAAATTCTTGCTTCTTCGTCAAGGATAAAATTCTTTTTTTTGAAAAAAATTTAAAAAGGCTAATTTATTACCATCAAGCAGAAGACAGTTACAAAATACACATAGAATGGCTTCCAGGTTTACTTATATACTCTAAAAGTCTTAAATTTTTCTGAAATTGTTCTGTGTAAGTTAATTATGTCTCAATCTGAATATAGTTTCTTAATGAATACATATTTTTAGGGAGTCCTTACCTCAAAAAGTACCAGGCAGCCTACCCTGAGTGTATTTTTGGTTAGCATAAACCCTCAGTGTAACTTGTTTATGGCCGCAGCGTGCATGTGGAGGTCAGAGGACAACTTGAAGAACTGGTGCTCTCTTTCTATTGGGGGATCTAGGGATTGAACCCAGATCGTCCGGTTTGGTGGTAAGCACCTTTACCTACTGAGCCAACTCACTAGCACAGTAACATCTGATGATATATTAACATTTAAATAAGAAAATAAATTGCCTGATGAAATTTCTTGTCACCGCTAAACCAATTTGCCATTGGATACTCTTCCCCAGAAAAAAAAAGGTGTCTACTGAAACACCAGGATGGCACATGCTCCTCTGTCCCAGAGGTGGACGAATTGCAGCTACTTTGGGCCATCCTCTAATCATACTATTGAGACAATCTTTTTTGTTGCTCTAAAACAAAACAAAACAAAACAAAACAAAACAAAACAAAACAAAACAAAACAAAACAAAACACCAAAACCCTTCAAAGGTTTAAAGCAAATGACCTGGTTAGAAGCAGTATAATTATTTAGTGCTTATTAATTTTGCTCATTAATTTTCTGTGTTGCATGTAAGTTTTAAATCCTGTAGATGATACTGGAGTTTTAACCCTGAGATTAGGCCTCATTTCAAAAACATTTGATCCTACTTGTTATACACATTGAATCACTGGCTACATGAAGGTGTCACTGTGGCAAGTTGAAATTCAATGTTTTTCCCTCACAAAACAGGATGTCAGAGAATTTTTTAAAGATCTCTCACTTAGTGACATAGGCATCTACCTACTCAACAAACCACCTGTGTCTCCCCTTTGTAGTTCCTCTAAACACATGCCTTACCTTATCAGAACAAGTGTTATCATCTGGTCCTCCACCAATCACAAACAGTTTTCCTATACAGCTCGTCACTGCAGGAGAGCTTACTGCTTCCTTAAGTGGAGCAACTTCTGTCCAACGATTTGAAAAGGAATCGTAACACTCTACACTGCTAAGTCTGTTTTGCCCATCATAGCCTCCAACAACATACACCTATATGGAAAACACAGGGCAAAGAATCTATTAGTGAGGGCTAAAATGTTTATCTGTTCCATTAAAATTTTAGGATCCCTCTCATTCAAGGCCTTGACAGCTGTAACTACAGTGAATTTAGCTCAGTGTTCTGAGCCTTTTAAATATTTTAGCATCCCTCTACTACCACTGTTACAGAGCCTCTTCTGGTCTCTTCTGGTCCCTTCAGTGACATTTTCATACTACAGGCATAATATATATTTCTTTACTGTATAACTGTCTAACAATGACAGTGGTTTGTTTGGTTTTTTGGTTTTCTTTTCAACCGTTTTAAGGAGCAGAATTCTACCATACCCATGGGAAGAAGGTTTTTCATGTTTTGTTCACTCAACAATGAGATATTTGAGTATAAAGTAATAAAGTCATGCAACTACAACGCCAGGTAAGTAAGGGTCTATAGTGTGAGCTCTCCAAAGACAAAGCCCATCTTTTAGCAACTATAGCATCTAGAAAAGTACCTGAGACACAGTGAATTTAAAGAGCTTTCTCAACATTTTCTATGAATAATGGTAGGGCAATATATTTACATAACAGCTGAAACAATAAACAAAACATTTAGTAAACAACTTACATGCTAAACAATCCCTTGTGCATCATGGGGCATATTAGAAACGTTTAATCAAGCCTTCCTGTTTCACACCCATATTTCTTTTAATGAACGATTATAGTCTTCCTGTGACTGGGTCTTCCATGATTTCTCACTTCTGCCCTTTCTTCTTTTTTCCATCATTACCATTTATCTAAGGTTTTACCATTTATCACATGGTTTTATGGTTCTCAAAACCATATTCTAGCCTTCTTAAATACCATCAGTCCTTTTTCTAGACCATCAGTGAGTCATGCTACACTTCACATTTCGTGATGTCCACAATTTAACTTTCTGTGCCTCTGTATATCCACAGCGGCCAACACCACTTCTACTGCACATTACACATTTATCACATGTAATGTGATCTTGTCTCAAAAAAAAAAAAGTGACTATGGGGCTGGAGAGATGCTTAGCAGTCGAGAGGACCTAGGTTTTATTCCCAGTACCCACACAAAGGCTAATTCCAGCTCCAGGGGCTCTAGCACCGTTTTCTGGCCTTCAAGGCTACACCCATATGCATACAACTCAACACAGAACATACACCCACACACAGAAAGTAAACTAAACACGTTGGAGAGTTTATTTTAGTTTTATCCTCTCTTGTACAAATAAAGAAGGCTAAATAATACCACTTAAGATAAACATTTATCTGCTTGATTGCCAAAGTCAGTCAAAGGGAAAGAAGTTGTGTAGACTAGACACTGGCCTGGTTTTGTATCTGATATAATGCCTTTCTAGTTCTTCTTAAGCATTTGGATTCCAATGTGTGAGAAATGTGCTGTACTGCCACAAATTTGGAATTGGGAGAACAAAATATCTATTCAAAAAGTACAGTTTTTTGTCTTTTGTTTATCTTGGTTAGGAATGGAAGGAAATACCATTTGAAGCCAAAATACCCAGAGGGAGATGCAAGATGCAGCTGTGGCATTTCTTTTGGACAGTTACCAGCAGTAGTAATAAAAGCCTTTTCTCTTACTTTACCAAGAAGGACAGCCATCTTGTGACGCCACCTGCCTTTATTTAGGGAAGCAACTCTGATCCAGATATTTAACTGTGAGTTATAAATCCAGACATCGCGGCTGTTGATTCTTCCACCTTAAAATGTAAAACAATGTACATGTGGTAATGTCACTAAATACGACCAAGAGATAGATAAAAAAAAAAGCAGAATTTGCCCATTCAATCCAAGAAGTTCAGAATCTTCTCAACAAACAAAGGAGGAACCTTCTACAGTGTAATGGAAATAGTTGCACAGAACAGATTTAAATCGAGCCAAGTGTTAGTCTGAGAAAGAATGACTATAAGCTCAAAAATAATAACATACAAAAAATGAGTTTTACAAACCGGGCATCAGATAACTACAAATAGCAGGATTATTCAAAGATGTCGTAAAAACCACACAAAATCAGGTATATGTGGTAGAGTCTTCTTCACTGGGTAGTAAGATAATAATCTGCAAGGCCAATCAAGTTATTTGTCAGTCAACAGGCTTCAAAGCATAGATACTAGCTATAGTCGTTGAAAATAATTTTGTCTGACTTTTAGGACTACATCGTGTACAATAAATACATTCAAGTTAAGAATTTTATAAAAAAATTCTAATTAATAAACTTTGGGAGAGAATGTCAGAAAATAGGCGCATTAAACGTTTAATTGTATGAATACTGTTAACTTTACAGTTTACAGTGATCCTTTAAAAAAAAGAAAAAGCAAAAAAAAAGAGAGGAAAGAGGTAAAGTTAAATTGTAACTCGAAGCTGGGGAGGTTGCTCAGTGGGAGCTGCTACTGCTCTTGCAGAGGACTCGAATGTAGGCAGCTTACAATCGCCTACAACTCCAGCTCCAGGAGGTCTGATGAGCTCTTTTGGCTTCTGGAGGCATGTCTATGTTCTCCCGTGTACACACACATATATGCACGGACACACAGTTAAAACACATGTACTCTAAGTGTGCACAAAAGCATTAAAAAAAAAAAAATCATGACCAAAGCATTTTCTGGTAGATCTTTTGTAAGTCGTTCTGTTTTTCAGGGGTAAAACAGCTTTTTAGTTTTGTTGTATAAACTGTTTGCCTGAAATATCCATTTCACTTTCAACAACATATTATTTTTTAAAAAACAATCTACATCCACATCAAAAGTGATAGCTAATGTAATAATTATTTATTTACCTGAAACAAGAATATCATTCCTTAGTGCACAGACAGCATACTCTGATTTGGTAAATTCTGGAAGCTTGGCCAAGGACTTCCACTCTCCTGTTACTGGATCATAGCACTCAGTGTATGGAAGATTAAATCCTCCAGCTCGTTCACAGCCTCCAACCACAACTATCACCTCTGAATAGCCAGTAGACCTAAAATAATTATTGTTAAGAATGCACACACGATGTAAGTGATTCATTAAGATATAGTCAAGATTGTTCAAAGCCGTAACAACAAAAACACCACGACAGGCAGTTGAGTTTATTCTTGCAGATGTGCCAAATAGTATAGGCTGCCAGTTTTTTACTTTGAGAACATTTATTAGTGATATCATTATGCCACAGAAAATGTCCACACTTTCTTTTTTTAAAAGAATATTTAGGTTTATGCGTATGAGTGTTTTGCCAGCACATATGTATGCACACCATGTATATGCTTGGTTCCTATGAGATAGTGGATAGCCTGGAACTGGAGTTAGGGATAGCTCTGAGTCACCATGTGGGTGTTAGGAACCAAACCTAGGTCCTTTGCAAGAGCTCTTAACCAGCCTCTTCCTGCCATTAAATTTTGTCTTTGTGTCTTTAAAATACATACACACACACACACACACACACACACACACACACACACACACACACACAAACATTAGTCCAGGCTGACTTACATGTCATGTTCATCCTGAAAATGCAAGTGAGTGAGATAAGTGATTACAGCCACCAAACCTGGCTTTTCTGGTTGGTTGTTTTTACTGAGAAACAGGGTCTCACTATGTAGCTCTGGCTAGCTGGGCATGCACTATGTAGACCAGACTGGCCTGGAACAGAGATCTGCCAGTCTCTGCCTCCTGGGTACTAGATGCTAGAAAGAGACCACACACTGGTTTTCATGGGTTTTGACTTTTGAAATCTTTTATTTTGATACAGTACTAGGGTCTGAAAACAGGTCACTGGGCTACCAAGGCAAGAATTCTACAACTTTTCATTGCTGCTTGTTCTAAAAATAAATCTACAGTCTATATATTTAAGAGTGTTTCTTCAGAAATAAGTTATTTTTTGTTCAAGGTCCTCATGTTGTCCAGCTAGGAATATAGGAAATCAAACAAACAAACAAACAAACAAACAAAAAAAACCCTGTAAATCAAACCATTATAATATCCACGTGTGCATTAAAAATGAGACTTTAAACTTTAAAGAGACAGTTCTCAAGTCTGTGTCATCTAAAGAAAAGAAGACAGCATTGACCAGACCTAGAAGAGATGAGTGAGTGAACAAGCGAGTGGAAGAATCACAGGGGTGAGTGTTTGCACCCATTCAAGTTATTATCACGGCAATGGTGATATGAACATTACAAGTTCCTTGGCAGGAAAGTTTTTATGTTGGGGGAGAGTTTCTTAAGCTGCTATTACTGAAGGAACCCAGCTCTAAGGCTCTGCCAACTTCCTGGCGAGACCCGACTATACCGACATGCTGAGCAGGTGGCACATTTAATCTGCTTGCTGATTATCTTTTCTCCTCTCTTTTCGTGTGGAACTGGCTTTAAACCTAGGGCCTTGTGCATGCTAGGCAAGTGTTTGGCCACCAACGTAAATTGTCAGCCTGTTAGTGTTTTTTGAGACAGGGTCTCACTATTGCTGCTTAGGTTAGCCTTGGGTTGGTTTCTCATAGTTAGATCTGTCCCTAAAACTATCTGATCTTATATTCTAAACCTGGAGAGGACACGGTCTTGAGTCTGTGCACCAGGGCTTGCTGCTGGGAACCACCCTAAGCGGACGGCTTTTATAAAGAGACAGATGTAGTGATAAAGACTCACAATATTTACTTTTCATAAGCAGCAATTATCTAAAAATTTACCACCAGAACTAACAGATATGCTTAAATACTGAGACACAATGATGTTGACATGAGGTGAAGGCAAAAAGCTCCAAGACAACTTAAGTGAGTATGAGGGTGGTAATGATCACTATACATAGATTTCATGACATGGAAACATGTTCACTACAGAGAGGATGATAATCATGTAACGGGCAGTAAATTCATAGATTAAAAAAGACATCTGAATCACATGCTTCTAATCCCAGCATTTGGGAGGCAGAGGCAGGAGGCTCATAGGGAGCCAGTGAGGCTGTTTCAAAAAAAAAAAAAAAAAAGAAAGAAATAAAATGGACATGAGGTCAAGCTGCTTTCCAAGCATCTGTGTTTATACGCAAAGTGCTGTTCTCAGCCTGTGTTAAAACGCTGGAACAAGTGACTGGTAAGTGCAGACCCTGACTGAGACAATTACCACTCGATTCCAAGGCTCAGAGAGCACTGCCGAAGAGGGACAAAGAATCAACAGCTAGAGAATGCGGAACAGTGCTATGCAAAATACTATTCTGCAGACATGCTAGGCTGTAAGTAATGAACACAAAGCAGCTGTGGCTACCTGTACAGCTGGCCCCCTTCAACACTCCATCATGGATGGAGGAGGGGCTCAAGAGGCTCCCTCCTTCCCTGAATTGCTATTAGCAGTTATGTCACTTTCTTCAGGAGTGTAATTACTGGTAAGTTGTCCAGGTGCCAGTATATACTCTCCTACATATTCTCTTGAACACATACAAACTGATGAAAGTAGAAGGGCTAGTTGAGAAGGAGTCAGCAGAAATAGGAGAGAATAAGTGCAGAAAATTAGGTAGTGAATCATATACTATACATATATATGTATGTATGTATGTTATATATATGAATGAAATTGTCAAAACAATAATAAAAACACTAAGACAATAGGACTAGGGGAATAACTTTATAGCAGAGTAAGCCCTGGGTTCTATCTCTGGTATCAAAAAAACCCCAAACCCTAAAATCAAAAAACACTTCTCTCTCAAAAACAAACAAACAAACAAACAAACAAACAAACAAACAGAAGTAAAAGTGCTTGCTGCTAAGGCCTTGATGAACTGACTTTAATTCTCTAGGAGAACTGACTCCCAACTGTCCTCTGCCACAGTGCATCCATGACATATGAAAACACACAGATAAATGAAGCATTAAAAACAAAAAACAAAAAACAAAACTCTAAACATTCACAGAAGCCTCACACCAGCCAAAAGACAAAAACAACCGAAATGTCCATTAGCTGACGGATGGTAAGCTCAATGGAAAAAAAAGAATTTTGAGCCAGGAGTGGTGGTGTTTACCATTATTAATGCCAACACTAGAGGCAGAGGCAGGCAGATCACTGTGCATTCTAGGGCAGAATGGTTTACACAGCAAATTCCAGAACAGCCAGGGATACACAATGAGATCCTTTCTCCACAAAAACAAAACAACAAGAAAACCTAATTATGCCCTATGCCCTATCCACAAATAGGATACGATACAAGTGTGGCCCAAAAGAACAGAGTGGAGGCAGCTGGAGTGATGGCTCAGAGCTGCAGAGCACATGCTGGTGCTGCAGAGGCCAGCACCTCAGTGCCCAGGGCCTCGCGCAGGCTACTCGAGTGCCTGTGACAACAACTCTAGGGATCTGACACTATAGTATTATGGCCACTATACTCTCGTGTACACACATGTACACACAACACACACAGGCACAAACACACACACAACTGTAAGGAATGGAAAGTAAACTCTGGAGAACAACTTAGGAAGTTTCTCTAACAATACAAAAGGGAAAGATCTGTACGTGGTCATACAGGACAATTTCAAACATAATTTTATAGCTCAGTGGTAGAGCGCTTGCCTGGCATAGGTGAAGACTTAGGTTAGACCTCAAGTATTGACAATAAAATAAAGAAACCAAAAAAGTGTTAAGTGGCAAAAGCAAGGTGAGGAACTCTAAGTGTAGTAGTGTACCATCTGAACAGAATGTCCAGAAGATGCACGTCCACATACACTTTTTCTTTCACAGAGAATATTTCTAAAGGTCAAAACTGGTAACAGAGGATAGTATCCTTTGAGGAGGAGCACCAAGGACTGCCTAAGGGTGAGGTGGAGGCAAAACTCACAGTAAATACTTTCTGTAAAGTGTCCGATTTAAAGCAGCTAAACATGTAATAATGGTGACCCATATGTCCAGCCACATGGGAGAGCATTCTTAGTTAAGACACAAAGGAACAGCTAGCTATACACAGGACTGAGGTCAGTCCTGGCTCTGCTCCCTACTTTTGTGGCCACAGCAAGTCAGTATCACAGCCATATTGCCTATAAAATGGACTTATTAGATAATCATTAAATAACACACACACACGTACACATGTACACACACACACTTTTTTGGGAAGTCTCACATAGCCCAGTTTGGCCTTGACCATGCTATGTAGCTGAAGATGAGCTTGAACTCTTTATCTTCCTGCCTCCACTTCCCAAGTACCGGGAAAAAAGGTTTACACTGTAAGCTGCCCAAGCTGCAGCAAATAACCTTCCATCCACACACACATAAAGACATGAGGCAGGAGGGGACCATATAATGCCCAGCAGTAAAATCCTATTTCTTAAGAAAAATATATTCAGAACTCCCTTATTCCTTGGAACGTCAGACTTGTCATCATTATCCTGATTAGGTTCTCATATTCATTATAAGTAACTGCATTATCAGAAGAATGGCGGGGTGGTACATAGCTTCACTTCCCAGCACTTGGGAAGTGAAGCAAAGGCAGATGAATCTTTGTGAATATTAGAAGAAGAAATAACTATGTAACTTTTTTTTTTTTTTTTTAACAAAAATCAGCATTCAGGGGCTGGAGAGAGGGTCCAGTGCTGTTCTTTTAGGACTTGATTTAGTGCCCTCATCTGTCCTCTGAGGGAGTTGAATCCGTATGGTGCACAGACATACATGCATGCAAATCACCCATATACCAAAAAAAAAAAAAAAAAAAAAAAAAAAAATCAGCACACAAGCAGGTTTCATTATGATGTTTTCATACAAAGTTTTGTTTTGTTTGATCCCCCAACCTTTCTTCCTCTCCTCAGCCAGCAGTTCCTGGCCACTTTCTTTGACTCTACTACTCTTCCCAACCCCTTGACTTAAAATCCCTTTTCTCCTCATGGCTCCCTTTTTAGTTTCATCATCATTACCTGTACTTACTTCCATAAGAATGAACACATGTAAATATTAGAAGTCAGGATTCAAGTATACACATTGACTGCTGATTCTAACCTCAAAATGATGACAAGCT